TTTTTTTACATGGCTGTGTCTATGTCTACAGTATCGTAATGCAATGGCTATTGACTATTTTTTTGGAAGTTCCTGTCATGTGTGCAGCTTGGAATTCTCACATTCTGCTGTAATCACAGTGCCAAATCGGTCACTATATTGTCTGCTGCAAGGGATAAAATACTATAGTGAAATAGCATAAAAAAGCCACTCCATGTGAAATAAGTTTATTGGAACCTAGTTTGTGCATGGGTTGGCTGTTGCACAATTTGTACAACTGAGAGGACCAGTTGGGTTTTGAGTTTCCATATATCTGATTTAATTGCTGAGAAATCTCTTTCTTACAGACAGCCAGTTCACTACAGAGTTAGAATGTCAGACAACGAGGAAGAGAATGTGGAGGCACCAAAGGGCCCAGTGGAGAATGCTTGGTCAGTCAAGATCCCTGAGTTTAAGAAAGGAGATATGAAAAGCCACCTCCTTGAAGAGAGCTCATTTTCACTTCTGTTCCCCAAATACCGTGAGAGATACATAAGGGAATGCTGGCCTTTATTGGACAAAACTCTGAAGGTAAGTGAACATTATGAATGATAGGCAGGCTGTACCACTCATTATACTCATTATGCTATGGTCATATAACAAAATTTCCATTTGCACACTATGCTGGAAGATATCAGGCACACACACAAAGTGGATACATATTGGCATAGGGAAAGATAAGGAATTTGGTGCTTATTTAAAGAGTGGCTACAGTGGTTAAGAAAAGCCAATACTGGATTCCTAGTCAAGAATTGATGAATCCAACTTGACAATTGCTTATCCACTAAACAATGTGGAAACAGTAATTTTTAAAAATTATCTTATTTTACTTTTATCATATATGTGTGTGCGTGTGCATGTGTGTGCGCGCTTGTCACAAGATTATAAATAATCTTACTAAATGTGATCTTTTCACTTTTAGGAACATGGAATCAAGGCTGAACTGGATCTTATCAAAGGAAGCATGAAAGTAGCAACCACAAGAAGTACCTGGGATCCCTATGCTATCATTAAGGCACGAGACATTATTAAACTACTCAGTCGGTCAGTCCCAATAGAGCAGGCAGTGAGAGTTCTACAGGATGGTATCACACATGAAATTATTAAGGTATGTTGCATTTATAACATCTTTTCATAGGCTAACTAACTTTTATTTTCATATGAGAATTAGCATATCCTGTATGAGAGGTGGATATTGGGAAAGAGAAGAAATGTATCGTCAATTCTGAGAAATGACACATTGTGAATCATCAGTAATATTTAATGTGTAGATCTTGTATCAGACTATTATTAAATGGAATTCAAGGGAATAAAAAGGATTAAGATAAGCTAAGGAATTTCTTACAAATTTTTTTGTATTTTAAAAATATTTTGCTTGAAATGCACTCATCCTTGGCACATTTTCAAAATCAAAAAAGAAAAAGAAAAATTTGTATGAATAGGAAAAATTGGTTGGAAAGATCATAATTTATCCTTTGAACTTGTTAGTTGTTCATGCACAGAGGAATAAAGCTAAGGGAATTCATGCTTGCTTATAAATTGATTGTAACTGTTTTGAGCCTAAGCTTTGAGCATGTAAAGCTCTCTCAGGAAAAGTTAACTCTCTAAACCTCACAGTTCAGTAGTATGCTCAGTGACAACACAAAATGTCTGCTTATAAAGCTTTCTCAGTATATGGCTGCCTCAGAGAATTACAAATGTTTTCAAGTAAATGTTATCCTTTTCCTAATCCTTAGTTACTATTGTTCAAATGTTCATAGACTGGTTATGTTATTGCAGAAGTCAGTAGCAGAATAGCAATATTTATCACCAGTACATCCATTTCATTTATACATGTATCATGATTACCAATTATTTATTATTTTGGGTTAGAGGCACACACATATCATTATAATTTTCAAGCTTGTCAAATTGATCTCAAGTCAGCATAAGGTAGCATTAATTAATTTTTTATCAATTATCATTTATATGTTTACTATAGATTATGGAAGTATACATATACAGATTACATGTGTACCTTTCATTATAGGAAACATCATTCTAAATATGTTTAACACATTGGACTTGACTAACTCATGACCTGGACCAAAATCCGGGCATTAGGCTTACTTGATTCCGACTTAGGTGTGCGGCTTGTTGGCCCAGTCCACATAGATACTCATGTGCAGTATCAAGTCTCCTTGTCTCTTTTTTGGAATGTTATAATCTCACTTTCGACATAAGCAATTTATGCTTGTTTTGGGCCAATTTCTAAGGTCTATATTTGTCATTTGTTTTTTCCTATTTTCCTTTAGTAGACTTTGTCTACAACTCTGTACAATAACAAAAACATGTATTAACATTGTGTTATTAGTGAATTTTTTAAATATTTTAATTTTATTCAATTTTCTGTAATACACCTTGCACTGCCAATCACAGTGGGCAGGCATAGGATCCTGTGGATGGAAATTTTGTCCTGCCTGGAGCCAGCACTGTTCCAGCTATGGCTCACAGATGGTACACTCCCCCCTCATTTGCTGGAGGAAATACTGCAAGAATCCCTTCCTAAATGCCCACTGAGTCTAATCTTCCTCCAAGAGCTTTGTGCACCCATGATAAGTCATTCCCATAGCTGAATTTTTCCATGATGACATTTATGAGTCACCTCTCCCTCAGCCAAATCTTTGCATGACGTGACAATCACTTCACCAGGATCCATTAGGTTAATGTGTTTACTTGCTTACTTAACCTTTTAGGTATCAATAATTTTAGGTCTGTATGAATATCTTGACATACATGTAAGCAGTGTGGACTGACATGATAGAATTAACCTTTAAACAACAATTGGAATAATATGTCCAGGGATCAGGAGGATGGAATTTTGGCCATCAGAGAGGGTTGCCTTGCCACTCTCTGCTCTACTGTCATTGTTTTATTTACTCTAGTATTGAAGATATTTATTTATTTATTTATTTTTTTCCTTGTTCATGTTTATATTTTGTATATTATAGCTGAAGAATGTAATTTAAAAAAAGGAAAAAAGTATAGAAACTCCTGGACAAGGTACAAATTTGCTTTTATACTATTTATTTGCACTAAAAGGAATAATTCACTATTGTAAACTTTCCACAAAGCTATGTAGTTTTTATAGTATTTTCCATTATTCCCATTTCTCTGTTGGTGGCATATTCTACCTGGTATTTATTGCCCAGTCCTGCTAGAGATGGGGATGCTTTCTTATCTTTTATATTTTATACGAATTGTGTCTTTGTTATTATAGAGCTTATCTTCTGATTACCATTTCAGATTGGAGGCATGATTCGCAACAAAGAGAGATTCATAAAGCGCAGGCAGAGATTGATTGGTTCAAATGGAACAACGTTAAAAGCATTAGAATTATTAACGGATTGCTATGTGCTTGTTCAGGGACAAACAGTATCAACCATTGGTCCATATAAAGGAGTTCTTGAGGTTGGTTTCTATCCTTAATTAGTTTTTTGTGTATATATATATATATATATATATATATATATATATATATATATATATATATATATATTTTTTTTTTTTTTTTTTTTTTTTTTTTTTTTTTTTTGATTAAGGGAAGGTATAATGTAACTCATTACAATAAAAACGATATTAGAGTATAGGATTAGAATTCCTTTCTCTTTTTAAATTTATATAACTTACCAAGATATATATATATATATGAATTTCAAACCATTAGCAATGTTAATGATGAATAATTTTAAACACACTGTATTGTAATTTTACCTTATCAATTATGTTTACACATAGATGGCTCCATGGGTGCTTAGTCACCCTTGAGGCCATTATTGGTCCTACCAATCTCATTTGTGTACCATTTTCCCTGATTTTTGGAAAGATTCTATTTAGTCTTTTATTGTATGTAAGATTGTAATAACACTATGATAAGCATAATGTCATTGATTATAATAGTATTATTGATATTAATAGCATTAGAAGAAAACATTTTTCCAGTAAATTCAAGGAATGAGGAAATCAAGTGGGCATTGACTTCTTTGATGGCAGAGCACTTACGGAGCCAACTGTGTGTAACAAAACTCGCAAAAAGCTACAGTGGACAGTATGTGAACCACAACCAATGGATTAAAGAAAATTCTTGATTTTTTCCAGGTTGTACGTTTTGTAACAGACACCATGAACAACATTCATCCAGTGTACCTCCTCAAGTCTCTCATGATCAAAAGACATCTGGCCAACAGTCCGGACAAAAAGGTTATATCTCATGTTATGAAAATTTTGTAGACATTATAAATATACTTATAGACATACTCATGTATGAACACATATAAGCATATATGGACATAAAAGTAAATAATAGGGGGAATATTGTCTTATTAATATGAATGTATATTTATTTCAAATTTAGTTGTTGTTTTTTTCCCCTCCTTAATTTTGTAATTTATTTTCCATTGCTTATTTCTCTGTTCACAGAATGAAGACTGGTCCAGATTCCTGCCTAAATTCAAGAGCAAAAACGTACAAAGGAAGAAGCCAAAGGTGAAGAAGGACAAGAAACCCTACACTCCCTTCCCCCCAGAACCCCAGGAGAGGAAGATCGACAAGGAACTGGCAGAGGGAAAATACTTCGTGGACCAGGAGGAGCGTAATGCCGCCAAGAGGAAGAGACCCAACGAGGAGAAGAAGAAGGCGGTGGCTGAGAAGCAGAAGGAGAAAAGAGCAAAATCCTTTGTACCGCCCCAAGAGCCACAGCACAAGCCAGACAAACCCAAACAAGGCAGCGCAAATGTTGATGTCGAGGCATTGAAAAAGAAAGTCAAGAAGAGAAAATCAATAGCTTAATTTTTTTTTTTTTCTGGAAAAGATAAATGTTAGGTTATTCAGGTCATTCAGTCCTTTAATGTAGGACTAGGAGATATGAAGTGCATGTCTAAACTCCCACAGATACTGTATTGCAGAGTTTAATGAATGGGCCCTAATATATTTCCAAAAGATGACCTCTCTGTGTTTTTAATTACCTTTCCCCTATATCAAGCAGATATATTTAGTAGAGTAAGGATTGTAAAGTGACAATTTTACATTCCTCTTTCTAATAGAGTACTTATTGTTACTTAATTTTTGTGTTTATGTCAAATTATCTTTTTTCTGAGTAATGCATTTTTATCATCATACTAGTAGAATAGTATATATTGTGATATAATAGATGTTTATCTAAAGGAAATAGTTTTTGTGTTCTCTTTAATCTTTTTTTCTGTTTTGAGGATTAGATTTTACATTACGTTAAAGATGAGAAAAATGCCCAAGTAGTGAAAGCTACTTGACAGACACATCCTCATGTTCTATTTTCGCTTACTTTTGAATATTGGTGAATACAAACTACAAAATACATCAACTGCATTGTAAATATACATAGAAATTCAAATCTCTATTCCTATGTTACTCCTTCTCTTGGATGTACTGTTCAAAATCTCTGATGTACAGTTTTTTTTTTTTTTTTTGTTGCTTTTATTTGACATTTCTTTAAACCACTAATGCCAGGAACATTATCATCATGATAATCATTATTTTGGTAATGTTAATAGCAATAATAATTGTAACGAATATAAACACATTCTAATAGAAGAATCAAGGCAAGGGGAAAATCAGTAATGTCAGGTAAGCCTAGTCACTGACTCGTTGGTGACAGAGCAGTTGTTGATTTGTGATAGACAATGATAACAAAAGAAAAACTACCATCTACTTGCTTTCTTTACGTGAACCAACACAAGCTATGACAGTAAATATCTAGCATTATTACCTGTGGCATTTGTGTCCATTTCCTATTTTTGTGAAGTGATCTTTCTCTGTTAATTTCTACAAAGCTGCAGTGAGATGTGTATATGATGCAATCTAACTTGTCAAGAAAGTTTACTAAGTAAGCAAAGAATCATTTGAGTACATGTTTTTGTACAAATAAACTTACTTAGTCTCTCATATTACTTTCTATTTTTACTCCTTTTGTTTTTTGTTAATTTTTGTAGTGTTTCTGAAGTAAACTGCTGATCCATTTGGAGTTACCCCAATGTTGCCAGGAAAATGCTGTACTCGTTAAAAAAAAAAAAATTGTGAAATGTTTCTGCACATAGATGGCTCTGCAAGTGCTAAGCCACAAAGGAGTCAGTTAGTAGACCTTGTGATCTTACCTGGTTTCACCTTTCATTGAATTGGCGGGATTTATTATTTTTTTTATTATTATTTCTTTTTATACTAATGCTATGAATATTGCTGGTGTAATTTTTATTAAAGACATAAGTAACAGCAAAATAAAATAAGATAAAATATTTTAGAAAATCAAGGAAAAGTACACATAATTGGCTAATTGGTAACTTCATACAAGTGTAGCCATATGTGTAAAAGAAATTAATAAAGTAAACTCACAGTGGACAGGGTATGTACATACATGCCATCCCTGTTGGATTTGGGTTAAGATAGTAATAGTGATCATCATAATTATAAGACCCAATACTTTTTTAATCCCTTAGAAATAGCTGATAGCTCTGGTGGATTTTTTTCTACTCTTATGCAAATATCTCATTGTTAAAAGAGTTAGATATTTATAAGTTCTATGAGTTAAGATAGGGATATTTTGGATGGGGAGTCTAATTCTCCACATTTACAAATTTATTAAAATTATGATGAAGAATAGTTGTTAAAATATTACAACCCTAAATATTTCTTGTTCTTGTTCAGTTCCACCATAGTAGACAAATGATTGTTCTTCCTGTACATCAACTTTTATTTCAGTGGCACATCTTCCTGCATAAGTGGACATTGACTTAGAGTCTGGATTCTTTAGTCATGTGATTTGTGGTCCATTGACCAATAAATATTACACTTCTACCTGAACCTTTTGATATTTAACAAGATTTTGAGGCTTCATTGTTTAGGTCATTGGGATTACTTACATGTAAATTGATTTCACTATATCTCATGGCAAAATATGTTCTTTGTTGGAAAGGGAGCAAAATGAATTTTTCAACATAAACAAAGATCATTGCACCATGTTTGTAGAGATGCATATAGTAATTTTGGGAATTCATTTCAACTTTGTGATATAAAGTAAGGATATTGGTGTTATTATACACATGGAGATTGCGATCAAGGTAGGTGCACTTTAATTATGAATATGAATCAAGTATGTCGTCTGATATGATCAGCTGAAAATGTTTTGGCGAGGAGCAATGCTACTCGTGAAAAGATTGTGAAATATATATATATATATATATATATATATATATATATATATATATATATATATATATATATATATATATATATATATATATGCATATATATATATATATATATATATATATATATATATATATATATATATATATATATATATATATATATATATATATATATATAATATATATATATATCCATATCAGATTTAAGAAGCTGCTTTAGCAATTTCCCCTTTGTAAATATATTTATAAAGGATGCATTATAAGGATAGCCAAAGGAAAATACACATGGCATGTTTCAGAAGAGGGTAGTCTTGATTTGGAGAAAGCAAAAAGCACTTCTAAATAAAGATGATTACTGTTTTCACAAGACTCATTCAAGAGTGTGTCAATGTGATATACTTTTTAATATATATAAAATATAATATTTAATATTAATAAACAAACAATCACAGTGTTTATTGCCAAAACTAAGGTAAAGTATTTTCAAGAATATTATGTGCCACTCACCTGAGGGAAGAGGTGTACACATAGTCAATAGTAATTTTACTTTAACAAACTCAAAACCTCACATTTTAACCCTCCTAGTAATATACGTGATATGAGAGGGATTAAATGCTGTACATGTAGTGTTCTGGATGAGAGTACTATTTTACTATTCTAGAAACATCCTTGACTAATCATGTGCGTGGTGTTTTTAGTTTTAATTTACCTTCAAACATACAAACAAAATACACACATGCACACACGCACACACGCACACGCACACACACACACACACACACACACACACACACACACACACACACACACACACACACACACATACACACACACACACACACACACACACACACACACACACACATGCAGATTATATATATATATATATATATATATAGATAGATAGATAGATAGATAGATAGATAGATAGATAGATAGATAGATAGATAGATAGATAGATAGATAGATAGATAGATAGGTAGATAGATAGATAGATAGATAGATAGATAGATACACACACATACATACATGCATATATACATATACAAATTGCATCATTCTTAGTATACCAACATTGGCGCTGAACTTTGGTGTGTGTAAAGCGAAGTTTCCAGTACGACTTGTCTCTTTTAATTGATTCTTAGAAAAATATTATTCAAATGATTGCAATATTGCTTTGATGCTTTCTCAAATCTATGTGTTTTTATTTTGTTTTTCCTTATCCTTACTAGTATTCATTCTTATATATTTAATGGCATTACTGCTTGCTTACATTAATTGCCTCCTACATCGGAACAATATACTCTGTTAATCCCTTTCTCAAGTTCCTTAAAGCTTTTGCCACGGCTGGACTTCAAGCTTCTGTGGTCATTGTGACATGTGGTATGTTCGATTTTATATTTAAGTACTTTTTTATCAGTACTGTGTCGCTTTTATCACCAGAGATCATTAAAGTGTTATTGATAAATGTTTTTGTATGATAGGTACAAGTACTTTTTGCTGGCCTCTTGCTCAAGATAATAAAGGGAGGTACAGGGGGCTTGTCCCCCTCGTCGAGGGAATAAGTAGGTAGGTAGGGTTAGGTTTGGATTTTTGAGTTCGCATCCATTACCCCTCCCTTCAATATCAGCTTCCTATTGACATCTAGTGCCATCCTCTCCCATCCCAGCTTCCTATTGACATCCAGTACCATCCATTACCCTCTCCCTACGCATTCCCCAAGATCATAGGGTAAAGGACAAAACATCTGGATTTGGGACTTGAAGGGTCTCTGGAAGGTGCGTCGCTCTCTGTAACACTGTGTAGTTCGGCGAGTGTTGCGTTTACCTGTTATTCACACACTCACACATCTGTTGAAACAGGCCGAGTGATTTATAGGGAATGTGTGCTTATATGTTTGACGGGATGTGCCTAGCTACAGGGAGGATTGTGAATTTCTGTGTTTGTTTGTATTTTCCATTTCCTCTCGAATGTGTTTATGCTCTGTTTCCTATGTGGTCAGGAGGTTGATGTCGTTGGGCATGCTGTTATGTAGACTGTCAATGGCTATCCTAGAATCTGTGTCTTTCCTTCAGAGACGTGTGGCCTTCCATAATCGCAACTGCCTCAGCCTGGAGCAATGAGGCGTTGTTTGTTCCCTCATGGATTTTGTATCATCCCTTGCTGTAAAACTGGTGCCTGCAATGTGGGTTACAGGATTAACTGATACATCCGTGAAGTAGGTTCTACTACCCGGAAGAGTGGTGACTGCAATGGTCCTCTCGGCTTCTGCCTTCAGTCTAGGTATACGGTACTGATTCTTTCTCCTTCACAAGCGCGTAACAGAAAAGGCGATCGAGTTCTGTGCCCACGGTGAGGGCTTCAATATAGTCAAGATGGGGGAGTCCATTTCAGTAGCAAGTAGTTGCTCTTTGAGCTGATAGCGTATTAACACCATGGCTGTGTGTGACAGCCAGGAATTGTTTGCAAAGAACTCGTAGTCTTCATTCAGGTATCTGAGTACTTTTTGTCTTGTGTTTGTGTTCCGGGGTACCTGGATAACCTTTGAAAGGAACTGCGCTGCCTTTAGATTAATTCAGGAATCCAGGGGGAGACGGTTTCCCCAGCAATGATAGCATCTAGCAATTCCATTGCGAAATCCTTGCTAATTGAGGGATCATCACCTTTATCATCCTGGGTGATGACGATGGTCTTGTTGCGGAGGCCCTTCAGCGCGGTGATGTATCTGAATGGGATCGCCGGGTGGCACGACGACGCATCGGCCA